CGGTGCCGGCCCGGGCTGCGGTGGGGGGTCGGTACGCACGCCGCTTCCCCGGCACAGACAGCCCCGGGCGAGGGACTGATCACCGGCTGTGCCAGGCGGAGCGGCCGAGAGCTTTACCTGTACGGAGAGCTTGAAGTTGAGCCACTTGCTCGAGGAGTACGCGCGGTGGCGAAACACAAAGCTGTCTCGATGCTGTCGGTAGAGGCAGAACGTCGGCAGATTCACGCCCAAGGAAGTGGGGTCATTCTTGTTACTACTGTTATTTTTTTAAGAGACCTTTTAGAAGCCGATTGAATTTAATGCGTTGACCTATTAAAAGAGGAATACAAGCTATTTTGTTTTAGAAAACCTCAGACACTTAATTTGCTGTTAAAGTCTCCAAATATTCTCACTATGTATTATTTCCAGAAGTAACCGCCATATCTTTGGAAGCGGCTGAAGGCACCAAACGGCTCGGTTGCATTGCAGTTCTTCTCATCCAAATGCAGGGTCTGACTGTCTCAGCACCCACCTCCGAGACGTTTTTCTTCTTCCCAGGTTCTCTCCAGGTTCAGTAGCAGCTTTCATGGGAACCAGACTCGCTTCTTTTACCTGTAGTTACTGAACTGTAAAACCTCATTGTTTTTTGCACTGATGATTTTTAGAATGGAAACCTGTTACCATCTCATGTAGCTACACCTAACTGTTTGTAGTGCATGACAATGAACTATTGCTAAGCCAGGGTGTGTGTGTATATATATACATATATGCATATACATATGCACACACACGTATATATATGTATATATTTAAAAAAGAAAAAAAAAATCTGTGCAGAAGTTTTCCAAGCAGTAAGGAGACTGTAAGGAAGCGTGCCAACAACGTCAGGCAAGCTTAAGAAAAGGCCATATCTTGATTTTCCCGGTGTGTTTCTCGGCGGACGTGCCTGAGCTGGCGGTTCGCGCGGTGCCGGAGCGAGCCGGCGTGGGTGCGTGGCCCTCCTGGCACGCACTGCCCAGGCGCCCATCTACAGACTCCGGTTGGCCTCTTCACGTGAAGATTTTATAGCCCTACCGAGCTCCCCGAGCGTGTGTAACCCTGCTTCCCCCCGCCACACTTCCCTCTCTTTATACCACTTTCTACTTCTGAGGATCTTATTTATAACAAAGAATTTTTTAGACTTGCCTGCTTCATTTTCTTACCTGTTTCAATATGAAGTGCAGGACGGCCGCACTGAGACACACAGCACTGTGAACGCTGCTCTGCTCGCTGGCTCTGGGCCACGGTAGGCAAATCCACCTCTCCTCAGCCGTCCAAGGCAGATCCCGTGTGCGAGGGCCGAAGCGGAGGCAGAGGAGGGACAGTGCTGAGCTGCCGACGGCGTCCGAGCCGGCAGAGCGCTCCAACCCAGCTGCCCGCCCGCCGCCCCGTGCATCTCCCGCGTCTTGCAGCCCGACTGCAACGTGTCGAACCACTTCTCTTTTGGTAATTGCTCAATTAGAGAAGGAGTCCGATGGCTTTTGTTACCGAAAACTGACTTCTCTTTCTGCCGACTCAGCTGAGCTCTCTCTGAATGTACACCCGGAGCTTACCGGGTTTAAAAACAATGTGAATTGTCCCAGCGTTTTGCTAGTCAAGTGTTATCTCGAACAGATGCCATCCGAGTAGGAAGCCAAGCCACAATCCGTCCCGTGAAGTCACCAAGCCACATCACAAAATAATTCCTGCAAATTCGGGTATGGCCTTTGCAAAATCCGCCTTTCCTCCAAGCCCACAGCCGAGGCACGATTTGTACATTGTCCCGTGCTGACGAGATGTTCACATTTTCTTATGTGTAGATAGTGTAAAACAGAGGCGAATGTAAATGTTCAACATAAAAAGTGGATATATAAAATTGAAAGTTATTTATTTATGTAGAAGAAAAAAAAAATGTCTGGAGGGACTGGAACCTTCAGGGTTTATTAATATTTAAAAATGTAGCTTTTTGTTTCAGGCATTATGTACAAAGCAATTAATTTATGGACCAAGTTTAATGTAACTGTCAATGAATGCAGAAGTGCAATATTATACTCACCTCTCCATCACTTCATGTTCTGAACAGCTACTAACCAGCTAAGCTGACACTCACAGCACCGCTGCCCTCATCCTGTGTTGAGCCTCTCAAAACTCGCCTGGGTCCTTTCCCTGGCCCCCCCCATCTGTTGCCATTGTACGGATCCAACACGGAGAAGCAACTGTAGAGCAGGACCTTTATCGCTGCAATAAAACCAGATGAGGTGGGTGTAGGTACCGGGAAATAACGCCAATAAGTTTTTTTTCTCCACCGATTCAGTCCGTCGTCGTCTGCATCCGTCTCTCCTCAGCCGCCCCCATCTGGCACTCATCTCTCTGAAGCGGAGAGCAACGCGCTACTCACTCGAAGAACTATAGCAATAGTTTCACTCCGTGTTTATAACCTGTTTGTTCCGAGCTGTTTTGGAGAGCGATGCATGTGACCCAATGCCTTTCCACGCATCTGGAAGAGGATCCGTTCGGATGCCGTGAGGGAAAGGTGAACGTACGTTCCATCCTTACTAAAGGGGCACTGTCAGGTTACAGACCTAATCTGTCTTTGTTACAAGTGACTCGTTTGCTTCAAAATCCGAAAGAAGACGCAGTTTCTTGTACCCCTCCCCATCGCCGTTGTCTGGGCAGCCGTCGGTGCGACCGGCGACGGTCGCGCTGCTCCTGCTGCAGCCCACGTCCTCTTCTCGCACACGAGCACAATACAGCCCGCGCTGCACAGGCTGCCTCGGTCTTTCTTTTTTTTTTTTTTTCCCTTTTTTTTATTTTTTAATTGTTTCCATGGGAATCAAACTCTGCCGTGGAGCTCAGTTTTTTGATAAAAAGCAGCTTTTTGTATTCCTGCGCTATTGGGCCAGACTTTCTACCTGACGCTGTCCCTTTACAGTCTTTTAAAAAATAAAAAGAGGAGCCCATGCATTCCCTCCGAGTTGTTTTCCTGGGTTTGCCGGATCACTCAGTCAGATGAGGCGAAATCCTAATACCAAAAAAAACGTTTACAGTGTCCGATAGGCGAGCCGAGCGCAGTAACTAGCCAAAGGGTTACTACCGAAGCCCCGCTCCGCCCAGCAGCCGCCGTGCTTGCTGTAGCAGCCCCTTCTTCAGGTATCGCCACCGTTTGCTGCATTTCCTGTTAGTTCTAGAAGCCTTACGGTCCCCTCCCCGTCCTCGGCACCCTCTGCCTCTTGATACCCTCGACTGTCAATTTTATATTCCAACGATGTTAGTTGTGTTTTATTTATAAAAAATTGCTTTCGGGGTGACAGACGTGTGTGTGGGGCCCCGCCGGAGGGCATGCCCGAGGGCGCCGGCAGCCGCGCCGGGGACGCCCCGCGTGTACAGCACCGTGCCGACGACTCGCCTGTGCGTGACAAACCTTCTGTACGACTTCCTTCTCCTCCTTGCTGTTAGTGCATCGTTCTAATGCCTGGGTGTGCTTTGTGTACAGTATCATTGTGAGTTACACAGATTAAAGAAACGGGAAGGCTCTTCTCTGTCTGGTTTGGGTTTTATTTTGGGGAGGCTCTACGAACAGACAAGTCGCAAAACCCAAGATGTGAGCAGGCGCCAGTTTAATGGGGTTACAGCGATGAACAGAACGTGGAAACCCTCGGCGCAGGTCAGTCCTGCAGGACCCATTTGTCCTTTAACCCATATGTCCTTGTATATTTTTTTTTTTACAGTTTATAGATTTACAGACTTTGCAGTGGGGGAAAGGCCAGCTGTTTGCTTCACAGCAGCCATGGGCACGGTCCCGAGAAGCACAGAGCCCTAACGCTGCCCGGGACACAAGTCGCATGCAGGAACAGACAGCAGAGCAAAGCCACCCCCCTCCTGCAAAGCATGCCAGCGCGGTCTGCCAGGTCAGTGTCCCCCGGGCCACCCAACGAGGTGACGCAGCGGAAGGGCTGGGAGAAGCCCCGGGCACAGCGGAGGGTGGCACTTGAAGGCGCAGAGCAGAGCTGCAGACGGAGCAGAGCCACGCAGCGGCACAGCCGCTCCTCTCCGAGCAGGGTGGGCGAGTGCGAAGGGCCTGCAGCACCGGGTAAGCACCGGGCACGCAGATCCAGCAAGGAGGGGGCCGAGAGCAGCCCCTGAAGGGACAAAGTGGCAGCCAGCTGTGTATTTCGCAGCCCCGGCACATGCCCTGTGCTGGCCGCAGAGCTGGCTCCTGCCCACCGAAGCCCGTTGCACCTTGGCAGCAGCTCTAGGTGCTCCGCGCCAGCAAACCTGTCCCCTGGGTGCTGCTGAGCTCCTCCGGCAGCAAAAGGGGCACCGGGGCAAGCAGGTCCAAGCGCGTTACAGCCACCCCAGCCCCAGTCAGGAAAGGGAGGGGAGAAGCTGGGAGACGAACCATTAAAGTCGCTCTCCTTCCCAGTCAATAACTTACAAAGCAACTGGAAACTGCCCCGGGGGAAGCATCCTGGCGCGGTGCTGTCTGCACGGTCCAGAGACAAAGGCTC